TTTTTCGTTTTCACGTTTGCTTTGATGTGTATCTCTCCTTTACACCAGATGATATTTTTCTTTATCTACGTACAAAGTTAAACACCTAGAGTAGCATAGTATCTTAATCAACTCTGAATACAACCTTCTCTTCATCTATTCAACATTATTACTTTCCTTTACAGCTTCTGTCAACTGCTCCATTACAGATGGCCAAAGAGCTATAGGAAAACGTCGTTCAACCTTAAAATATCCCGAAGAAGTTATCCCGGGATTTTTTAGTAATTTGTACAGTCTCTCTTTTTCAACAGTTGCGAGAGGGTGAACAGTTGGTGCCCGCACAGTAGGCTGTGCATCACGTTTATTATTAAGAAAGAAATCATCATCATCTCCGTCAAGAAGATCAACCCAACGTACGGGTTGAGAAACCTTTTCTTTTACAGCTACGGGATGAAGTTCTGCATGACGCTGTAAAGCGTAGATTTTCGCCCTTTTAGGGAGTGCTTGATACTCCTCCTCTATGAATGTCAGTAATGGTTTAATATCCATCTCTCTTTTCGCAAGTGCCAAATTATCTGAGGAATCCACAAGAATTGCCAATAAAGTGGGAAATAAAATATGACGAGCGGAAATAAAATACTGGAATGGTAAAGCAGATAAAATTCTAGAAAACAAAGATTTACCCTTACCCCAGGAAAACATACTTTGAATTGGTTTATCTTGTATACAAAGGTAACCAATAAAAAGAAGGCATTCATGAAGTGCAGCACGCAAATGGTATTGTGGACGTGCTGATGTAATGGGCGTTCCAGAATTGGGGCTATTTATATTTTGAGGTCCAGGAAGTGGTGGAATTTGTGATAATGTAATACCAAACTTTAATGCTTCTTCAAAAGAACCACGAACACCATCTCCTGTAATTACCTCTCCTTGAATATTTTCAAGCATATCTGTGTGAGCTTGTACATAGGTAAAAAATCCACAGAGTACATGAAACATCTCCATTTGTGTAATTACACCTGGTGTCTTTGATGGTTCAGCCTTTGGATCCACAAAAACTCCCAATCCCTTATCACTAGAAGTTCCATGCATTAGTTCCTGTAATATTTCTAGTTGCCATCTCGCAAGACAGTTCAAAACGCGAAAAACAATAAAAATAATAATAACTCGACGTGCACTGAGCAATGGACTCATTTCGGTTAAAGGACTACCGTCAGGGGTTAATATATTTTGAAGAAGTGTAAAGAATGCACAAGTAACTTGTTTAAACCAAGTAGTTGGGCAATCACCTTTCCTTCTACTCAAAATACATACTTGTGAATATAAGAGACGAGTTGCACTGTAAACAACTTCAAGATCTTGTTCTTCTGTAGAAGCCTGAGTTACAGCAATACAATACTTTTCAATGCTAGCAGCATCAAAATCTGCTAACAGTTGATCTCTTACAGGAATAAGTTTGGCATTCGTTTGAGCATCAATTGAAATACGTTCAAAACATAATTGTAAGATTCCCAATGAGGCAGCAAGAGGTGCTGAATGAGTTTGACGTTTTAAACCTTTTATTTCTTCTCGAATACAGATTAAAAGAGGTGCTAAATTTCCAGATCTTACATATGTTAACACATGTTGTTTCCCTTCTTTACTATCTGAGAGAAAACGCAGTAACGCGTTGTATGCCAAACGGAAAGTAGCCATATCATTAGCACGGCGCGAATCCATCATAACACGAATAAAACTTTCATAAGCATTGAAGTATCGTACATATTCATGATCAATATCTGCCAAATCCATTGTACCAAGTAGGTCATGAAGTGGCTGACGACACTGGGCCAAAGAAGCGGGTGATGTATTGGTTCCAAGACGACTAATAATAGATCTTAATTTACTTCGATTTAAATCCTTAGCACTCACAGTGCTTTCCTTTTGATAGTTTTCCATAAACGTTTTTCCTTGTCGCGCAGTTACAGCAACCACTTTTGCTAGTTTTTGGGCTAGCTGTTCTTCTTCTTGTTGTGGAATTACAGGCATAAGATCCTGAATAGTTGGTTTCGTATCAGTGTCACGTTCTTTTCGTTGTCTAACTTCTTTAATTTTTTGTTCCTGTTTTCCTAATTTTTGTCTCATCATTTCCCGTTTTTCTTCTCGTAATTGTGCACTTTGTTGAATACGTTCTTCAACCTTTCGACTTCGAGCTTCAGCCTCAGCGCATACATCTCGCTGTCGTTGCTGAACCTTCTTTTCCCATTCCTCAGCTTTATGCTCTTTCATATCCTTTTCTATTTTTTTCTGTTCCTCAAGACGTTTTAAATTATCACGACGTTGCTGCTCTCGCTGCTGTTGTCGTTCAATACGTTCTTGACTGATGTTGCGTCGTCGCTCAGCTGCAGCCAACATAGCCTCATTTCGTTCCTGCGCCATTCGTTGAAGTTCTTCCCGCTTCTGTTCCAAGTTATGTTCCACCTCAGACATCCTGCGATCTAGCAGAAGTGCTTTTGTTTGCTGTCGTAATTCACAACTTAAACGAACCTCTTCAACACGTGAGTATCCTCTCCTGGCGCGTTCCTTTGTCTGTTCTCGAGCCTCCTCTACGCGACGAAGTCCATTCTCCTGCCGCTCCATCGCATCATTCCTCAACCGCTCTTCTGCTTGTGTGCGGCGCTGCTTCGCCAACACACTCCGCTCCCCCGCGGCCACCAACTTGGACCGCATCTCCTGCAACTTCTCCAGCCGGCGCTCCTCCGCTTTTCGCTGCCGCTCTTCGCTGCGAAGGGCCGAGGCGTGTCGTGCCGCCTCCAACTCATCATGGTGGTGGTGATCACTCTCCATACGCTTGGGGGAGACCTTCTTGCTCTTAGGGGAGTGCAGCTGCTGGTTCTTCGCCGGCACAAAAGCATCTACGCCCTCCCCGTGATCACCCTCCTCTTCCGCACGGTTTGTTGGAGAGTGCCCGCTCAGACGGGTGGAGTTCAGGTTCAGCTGCCTTCGGCACTCAATCCGTCGATCCACTTTGACAGTTTTGAGGGCTCGTAGGCCTTCCTCTGTAACGCTGATACAATCATCTACAGAGAGAGCACTTGCAGGGTTCTCTAAAGATAATACCACTTCGTTTATGACGGCCTTCAGTTTTTCAAGAAGATGAAACGCAGAAACTGGGGGCACATCTTTCGTGTTAGTATGATGAACCTGCTGAGTCGCGCTAACCTCATCTGTTGCACCTTGAGTTTCCACCGACATTTCGGTGCAATAATCGTTAGAACGTCGACCTTCCATCTATAACACCCAATTAAAAAAAAAAAGCAAATAAAAGAAAGATTATGTCCAGTAATTTATTAAGACAAGTAACACATGAAGAAGGTAAAAAAAAAAAAACTATACTCGTTTATATCATCGAGTCTGATTAACTCACAATAATCGAAGACGAAAGAAAAAAAAAAAACACATGCATGCATGCATGCATCAATAAAAGAATGCTCTACCAATACCCAATTCGGGAATAAAAATAATAATATGAAAAATCGTAATATTAAAAATGTTTCTGGCAAAACTTAAGAAGTCCCCTGATTTTAAAAAAAACAGGTGCCAAGAAAAAGCAAACAAAGATCTAAAAACACTTATTGTGTACGATGCCTGGGCCAGCCTCGTCGTACTCACTCTTCTTGATCCACATTGTCTGAAAAGTGGTGAGGGATGACAAGATAGAGCCACCAATCCATACACTGTA